GTACCCGTGGACCTTTTACACCCTAGCTCTTGGTAACGAGGGCATGAACGTCGCGGAATCGCTGGGCGCTCACTCTGGTCATCATCTGCATCGGTCTTTGCCGTTCCCTTTATATCACGTGAGGCACTCACCGTGACGCGATGGCTGATTGGGTTTAGTGCAACCCGCGCCCCATATTTCACTAGCAATGGGTGGTGCGGCACCGGCGCTGACCGTAGAAAAACCGGGGCGCTGTGGGGTAACAGACACACGAACGCACCCGGCGCATTTCTCTCCCTCTGTTTGAGATCCCCGTTCGGACCCTTGTAACTATATACTCTTTGGCCCTGAGTCAGAACATGGTGCATCTGGAATTATGGCACGCAAAAGGAGACAGATCAACTCCAAAGTCCACCAACCTCGACGATTACTTCCGAGTAAGCCCGAAGACCGTCCACATGGCCCCGTACTCCCAACCCCAGCATCGAAATCAACGCGGCGCAAGCACCCGACAAAATCTGCGTGCTTGGCTTGTCAAAGGCGAAAGTCCAAAGTATGACAATGACTTAGTCTCTAGGATCTCGCTTGATGGCTAAGCAAACCTATTGATAGTGTAGCGGGGAACGCCCGATGTGTGCAAGCTGCGCGACCAAAGGCGATACTTGTCTCTACGAAACGGATAGGTCGGGCGAGACGCATTTGCAAGCTATCAGGAGGAAATTTGATGACATGGAGGCGACCAACACCATGTATGAGAAACTTCACAGCCTTCTCCAAGTCGCAAACGAGGCAGATGCGAAACGAGTCTTCGACAAGATTAGGCGTGGCGTAGATATTCAGAGCATACTTGTCCAGAGCAAGAAAACCAGTCCCACGACGCCGCCGAGCACGGCGAGTGACGAATCTCCTGGTTCATGTTTCCAACAATTGCGCTCGTGGAAGCACTGCCGCCCTACTTCAAGCAACAACGGGTTGCCACTCGAAACAGACCAATCAACTATACTGACTCTTCCCCCGCGGCCGCTTGAAGCCTACGTTTCTCACTGGCACCAGGATAGGTGGACTCAGATAGGATGGACAAAGGCGCACATACATCACCTTATCGATGCCATTTTTTCTTGGGACTACCTTCCTTTCAGCCTTTTATCTCACGATCTTTTTCTGCAGAGCTTCTACAGCGACTCGAACCAGTTTTGCTCCTCGGCGTTGGTATGCGCCATCCTAGCACTAGCATGTCGCATGGTAAACGAAGATAAAGACGACCTTGAAGTTCTTCCGTCTGGCTGGATTGGGAGCAAAACCTTCTTTGACCAGGCTAATGCAAAGCTACACAAACACCGGTCCAAGGGCCTTCCGGATATACAAGCAATCGGAATACTCGCACTCTATCACCTGCGATGCGGAGAAGAAGTGAAAGCTCAGGAGCATGCTGAAAACTTTATTGCCAGTATCAAAGAGTTTCACGACCCTGACTCTTCAGCTCGCAACAAGGGTGAGCAATACGAGAGAGTGTTGGACATTACCTATTGTGGGGCGGTATCCCTATCTCGGTATGTTGATGAGAGATGCCATGACTCGTGTTGGGTGGCTATTTGACATGTTTTGTAGCATGTTACTTTTAACCACGGGGCGGGTGTTTAATATCCAACTTTCCACCGCCCAAGCACATGCATCCATCCTGAATACGCTTCGTCCCATAATGCATACTAGAAACGGACGTCGTGGGTCTAGTCCAGGTGCGTACTTGAAGACCAGACAAAATAGTCCAAAGTCTACTGGGTAACAGGATAGCAGCCTTGACCCCGGGCGGGCGCAACTTGCAGATGCTCGGTATGCAGTTCATCTCGGGCAAGATTTTCGAGTTGACCGAGTGGGTGTACAATTTTATAGCGTTGGCTCGCTCAAACACCCGAAATGGCTCGAGGAGTGTGAGGGCATTCTACGAAAAGTGTCTGGACTGGTACAAGGAGTTGTTTGCCTATGCTGAAAGTGACTGCGGCAGAACGCCGTTTGTACTATTCGCCCAGTAAGCACATGACGCCAACAAAGGGGCACAGGGACCTAATGGGAAATGCAGCATATATTACCACCACTGCCTCCTGTGTGCTTTTCGGCCCCTCATCGGCAGGGACATGGGAAGCACCGACATCCGGCCATTTATGATATGCAAAGAGACTGCGCAGTCCGTCTTGGCGCTGACTCAATCCTACGACGACCTTTTCACTCTTCGGCGCGTGTCCGAGCTCATGCCTTATTTCGTTTGCACTGCGGGTATGCTTGGTCTTGGTTTGGAAACGGAGGGCAGGTCCATGAGCTCGGTACATCTACGCCTACAGCACACTGCACAGGAGTACGAAAGACTACCTGTGCAGCAATCTCCCAGTACGGATGATGGCAACGTACGGATTGCATCGCCATACATTACAATGTCGGCGACCGATCACGCGCGTCTGCTGCTTACCAAGATGGGGTCCGCACATCCGGCAGCGAATGCTGCCAGGAACCAGCTTCAAGTAACCTGACGAATCTGGATACTGAGCGGCACACGTCCAGAGCGGACTCGCCGGTGTAGCCATCTTTGCAAGCACCGCCGTCTCTCCTCAATGAGAAATGGGTTCTCGTCATGGGGCAAGCTCACGAAGCTCCTTCCACCAGACCTCTTCCGCAGTCAGTTTCAGGCGCCCGTGGTGCGTTGCGGGAAGCCCGACGCTCCTACAGACGCCCTGAATTGCGTTTGGTGTGGAAGACGAGGGCAGTTTTCAGCTGTTGGTCCAAATTGGTACTGCTGCAGGCAGGCTTTTCATCTCACATGAATTCCTTATGTTTTTACTTCTTTGTTGCATGGGGAAGGAATAAAATGTTATCCACGCAAAGTAACTATGACTGATCACCACGGAGAGATTGGCGTTGATATTACGGGAATAGGGCATCTTGGTCAAATGCTATAAAATTGAGATGGAGAGACTGTGTCAAAGATTCCCCACCCACAAGGGGGGTGGGATAGGATGTAATGAGACTTTACGAACCCCCCGATCTCCCCCCTTCCCCCAAGGACAAAAAAAAGAAAAATAAGGAAAACTCTTCCGACTTTAAGCTATATACAGTGGGCCTTTTCCTATCAACCTGGTCGCACCCTGCTCTGGGAATATTTACTGCAGAGACAGCCCTCCAGTTTCCGTCGCTTTAGCAGTTGGGGGTTGTCGATGTAAGGGACATGTCGTGCACCGGGTCGAGGGGCGCCAGTGACTCTGTCGGGTTTTCTGGTTCGGGGGGGACATGCAAGTATAATATTCCTTGCCCTGATAGCTTGCGGCGTCATGTATGACGGAATTGACTCGTTATTTTTCTGTACCAGGCCCGTCCCAGGCGTCATGATGTGACCGCTTGACACGAAGCCCGATGTTGCACGTCTAGGATGCCCCTGAGCCGGCACAGCAATCCCCGGCGGGGTGTAACTAATTTCATCTCGACGTGGAGACACAGGCATTGTTTCTGTGGCGACACCTAGACCAGAAGGATAAGCTGGAGGATCAGGTGGCTCACTCGTCTCGACAGGCGAGCAACTACCAAATAGGGTCATACCGGCTTCAGGGCACACTAATGGCAGCGAACCGGTGCCTATAGGGGCCATGTCATCCCCAGGAGCGTTGGGGCTGGTTTTTGTCGCTGGCGGATACGTCGCGGGCATGGTGCCGTCGGCGTGCTGATTTTGATACGAAAGCAAGCCCCGATTCTCATCGGTCGTGTTGCCAGATGCCATGAGGAGATTGGCAGACACCATGACTTTGCCTTGCGGAGTTTTTATTCCATAAAATTCGCTGTGGTCATATGGAAGAGTCGGCTGCTTCATGACTATACTGTGTCTTGAACTAAGTACACAATGGGCCTTGGTGCTCTAAAGAAATAGGGGCTTGGTCTAAGTAACCCGTTCTTGAGGAAAGCTAAGGCAGCTGATTGTCGTATTTTCTTATTGAAATGGAAATGCATAGAATTGTTCCACCACGTATTTATGTGGCTGGGTGAAGTGGCTTGGATGGACAGATTCCAGTGTATTGCATGAAAAGGCGACGCTTTGGCCCGAGAACGGCGGAGGCTGGTCCGAGTTCAAGCTGCTACTGTTTTGTCGAAACGGCTCAATGCTGCTTTGTTGAGTCCCAACCGACCCGCCAAGGCAGCGGTAAGGAGGGACATGACGGAACCCGCCGAGCAGACTTGCGGGATATTATGACCTGTCCTTCTAGATAACATCCGCCAGAGTGTATCCCTGTCCTAGCCTACACCGTTGTTAAGCCCCTGACGGGGGAACGCTACCTTTTAGGTTTTAGTTGCAACAATGAGGGATGCCTCCAGCACATCTGATTGGTTTGACCGTTCCCAAAGAGAACTGCTAGAAACTGAAAAGGGCGAGGGTCTGACTTCATAGTGCAGCGACGTCATATGTCACCTCGGAGACAACTCCTGGAGCGCAGTAGCCACGCCATGGTGACATCACGGGTGCTTAAAGTAGCATGCCACAAGGCGAGAGAAGGTATATGATCTACGCTCATAACCCTAATAAAGGAAAGAGGGTGCACAAATTGCAGACGGCAATGCGCTGAAGGGAGTTTCAGTCTGTGAGATTATGCGGACCTGGCAAGCTCTTGGGCGCGGCAATCAGGGTCACCTTCGGGGACAGCTCCGACGAGCCTGATTGGCCCAATATCGCCGGCCGAAAAGCTCAGCAGGCAAGGACCGGCACTTGGTGGTGTCGCCTGCGAGACAAGTCCCCAGGGCCGGAGTTGCAGTATCGTGGCGTTGCGGAGTCGTCAAGGCAGCACATTTTCGCGATAAAACTACGGGATGCTTTCCACCCAACATTGTCATATCGAAAGCCTTGGCTAAAAATAGCGAGACACTTGCCTGTCCAGCGTGTACCTTGGCTGGGCTTTGGAACTCGGGCAACGTGAGCCGAACCCGGCTACGGTTGTGCACGGTGAACGCCTTGCACTCAACTTTATATGTACTATTCGAATTAGCGCCATCTGTAGCTTTTTGTAAGGCGAACTTAACCCTCTAATCACCGTCAAGGACCGGAAGAGACCTAACAGCAATCTTGACTGGTAGCCTAGGAGAGTCCGGACAGTGTTGTAGTCCAGACATTCGCTTCGACGAATTGGCTCTTCAAGGGCAATACGTCCAACATAAAATTATTGCTATGTACTTGTTAAAACTATAATTATTATGCACGTTTCCCAAGCCGAACAGTGCCAAAGGAGCGATATGCCTCCGCTCATCGAATTCGCAGAGAGCTACGTCCTTTAGCCTCCTGGACTGAATAGTGAGGGCCGGCATTGGAGTCGACTCAACCAGCTACTTCCGGGCTTCGTCAGTTGCCGCTCCGGAAACCCGGCGGTTGGGTCGCATCGTACGACAGAGAGGCACAAATGTGGGACACGTCGTTCTCAAGCACTCAAAGATAGACAAAAGCTAGATATAGTTACAAACGAAAACATGGAGGGCATGACTTGGGCAGTTCTACATGGCGTCTGCTGCTGGGCAGCTTGGCTGTTCACAGTCGGATCCAGCTTGTTCATCGTGTCGGTACTATGCGGACCAGCCGTGATTCGAACAGGCTGCGCCGCAGTAGGCTGGCCCTGCATTGCCCAGAGGCTCCCTGGACGTCATCTCCAGTCTTGCTGCATTCTATCCGGGGATCGAGGACGTTGCCCAGATGGGAGATGTGTCTTGGCTCATGCTTGTTGCCGGCTCCAACCTAGGTAGCAGGCGGCGGTGCAGCGGTAGCTCCCTGTGCTGATGAAGTCATCCCCGGGCCCAGGACCTGAGCGCCCCCAGATTGGCTATCGACGGTAGGGTCCAGCTTGTTAACAATATCGTGACGGTGTGGCCCTGCCGTGCGTGGCGCTGGGCCGGGCTGGTTTGGGCCGCCTCGAGCTCTAGGCATTGTTTGTTGACTAGTCATTTCGTGATGCACCTCCCAAGTCCAGGAGCGACGGTTGCGTGATCAGTCAATGACACACGTGGTGTGAATGGGGGTATCGCAAAGAACTAGAGCGATTGGCAGTGGGTTTAGATGTTGCAATGACTCGTAACGTGGCAGTAGATATGTATAGAAGTCCGCCCAGCGCCAGGCACCAGGAGCATCCGCTATCACGAGCAACTCTCCATGTTTATAACTGCTGTTTCACCATGCCCCTTTGTTGCCCTGTGTGGTCAATTTGGGGCGGCGGTGGTGGAAACCACGGTTGTCATAACGACATGCATTGTGTTTAGGGTTGCTTGATCTTATATCATGTCCAAAGGATCACCATCATCATGTCTTAAGACGTGGCCCAAGTAGTCGAGGCCATGATTATTGCCTCTCAGTCATACGGCGAACAGCGACGTCATATTGGCATTTTTACCGTGCGACTTACATTTGAAGTGGTTGTAGAGGTAGAGGGTGCCATCTGTCCCGGAGGGTGGAGGGGGAGGGTTGGTCGTCACAATCAACCACCGACCGTGTCGCGCCATACATGCTCTACGTACTCATTACGTCGCCCATACATCAAGTTGCCACGGAGTCTGCCATCCCGAAAGCACAGCATGATATCATCCAGCAAGTTTGTTTTTCGCCTTTCGCCTATCCTGACGTCAAGGGAGTATAGCTTTGGGAACAGGATGCATCAACCTGCGTTATCGCGCTCGTGATAAGTGGCTATAAAAAGGACAAAGGTCGACCGTGAGGTGTGTTGAATTCCAGTCAAAGAAATTCATCATTCAGTCGACTTATTCCTGAAATCAAAATCAGACATCTCGATTTACAATGGAAGCCGCAAAGGAAGCCGTTCACAAAGTCGCCCACCCAACTACATCTGGTGATAAAGGCGGCACCACCCAAGCCAAGCCTGGTCTCGAGCGAGACATGGAACCAAAGCCTACCAAGGTCCACCTCCAGCACAGCGAGGAAGGGCAAGCCCCCTACGTCCCATGTGGGAAGCTCAAAGGCAAGAATGCTGTGATTACTGGCGGAGACTCTGGAATTGGTCGATCCGTGGCAATTCTTTTCGCCATGGAAGGGGCCAAAGTGGCCGTTGTACATCTACCCGCCGAAGAAGAGGATGCACAGCACACAAAAGCCCAGGTAGAAAAGAATGGAGGGGAGATTGTCCTCATTGCCAGCGACTTGAGCCACTCAATCAACTGCACCGATGTGGCCGAAAGGATCAAATCCACATTTGGCACGGTAGATATTCTAGTAAATAATGCCGCTACCCGACACGAAAAGGGCACCATTTCCGATATCTCTGAGTATGTCGATTCACCAGTTCTATCCACTGTATTTCTCAAATGCTAACTAGTTGTAGAGAACAATGGGCTTCTACTTTCCGCGTCAATATCGATTCCTACTTCTACCTGACCAAGCCTATTTTGCCTTTTATGGCCAAGAACGGTTCTATCATCAATAGCGCTTCTGTAGACTCGTATATTGGTGTTCCCAGCCGACTTGACTACGCCACTACCAAGGGTGCCATTATCGCGTTCA